AGCAAATGAACAACTCTTTTTGCTAGAAGCACCAGTCTTTGGCTGTTCATTAAAATAGCAGTGCGTATCTTGATAAGCCAAAAAAATTTTGTTAAGATAAAAAGTAAGTGGGGTTGCGTTAGTGACTATTATTAACATTAGAAAACACAGAAATAAATTTCTATTTTTTAACTTAGTGGGCAGGGGCAAACATTGTACTCCTGAAAAAAGAAATATTATAGTGCAACTAAGAAACCTGGGAAAAACATATAAGAACATCCAAGATATATGTGGATGTTCTGCTGAAATGATTCATAATGCTTTAAACTTTAAAGAAATGCCCGAAAATCATGGTATCCAACGTAAAACCACGCCTCATGAGATCCGATCTATTGTGCGATATAGCAGGGCGCAGCCTTTTGCATCGTCCAGCAAGATAAAAAATGACTTAAGCTTGAATGTTAGTGGCGTTACTATTCGGCGACGTCTTAAAGAATAAAATCTCAAAGCGTGCCATCCACGAAAAGTTCCACTGTTAGCCACCAGACATGTCAACGTTTGGAGTTCGCCAAAAGTCACCTTAATTGGCCCATTACAAAGTACATTATTATTGTGAATGTGAGTTTTGTGGTTATGAATCTGGTTTTTGAAGTGAACACGCTTAAACCATCTCTCTAAATAAGTGAGCGGTCTGTAAAGAACATCTTAATATTAGATGGAGAAAAGGTCTAAAAAATAAAGATTTTCAGAAGATATTCCAGGGGTGCGGTCCTAATAAATATAGTCTGTTGGGCGTGTTTACTAACGTCTTAAAAGGCGACCGTTCAACGTTTAAAGATGCTAATGAGCACACTGCAGAATAATTATGTTCGCGAACAATAACAAAAAAGCTTTTTCTAATAACAGTCGTCGCTAGTTAAACTTTGTTGATCCTAAGTCTTTATTATATATGTATTATAGCAAAATCATCAAATCAAAGCTATCAGAGATCAGAGATTGTTTGAAATTTGTATTGCCCCACATTTGTCGAATTAAATTACAGCGAATTCGTGTTACCAACGCATTGCAACTAAAATTTCAAATATATGAACATATTTACATAGTTTATACACAGATTTCTTGAACCAGATGCCCAATGCACAACCGCCAAATCTCACTATATACTAATATACATATACATATGAGTGCATAAAGTCAGATTGTTTCAGCAAGTCGACACTTTAATCGTTTGAACAGTAGCGGTTGTGGGCAACACATGTTCACCGAAAATCAGTCTGAGCCTCCTTTCTGTTAAATGAAATCCTTCAGTATGTCAGCGCTTCAGTGAATTTTACATTTCAATCCTTGAAATACTAAAATAAATTGTTGTTGTGACTTGACACATTAATTCATTTATTTCTTCCATGAAGAATGCCTCCAGCCCTCAGCACAATAATGCAGTTATTTTAATTTGGCGTAATGTTATTTTTGTTGCTTTTTGGATATTCCATTATTTTTGACATTAATTGCCGAGGCGTTGGCCCTTTTTTCCAAGGAAAGACTCCGAATGTGCGTCGTCGACAGATCACACATGTGTGCATAATTAGTGGCTGCAACGTATTTGTCAGCGCCACAGCGTCGTATTTGTGATTCTATAACGGGGGAACACGCTCGCGTGATCGTAAGTGTGGCTGATGTTTGTTAGGGGTCTGTTGCGAGTAAATATTTTTAGCAGCCTCTACATTCTCGCACTTTTCCTGTGTCATTTTATGTTTTTGAAAGTTTCATTCAGTTTTTGCTCGGCGGAAATATGCCTTTGAACTGTTGTCAGTAAGAGTGAATAAAAATGCATCGCTTTTTTGTTTTCTTGTCGGAAGAAAATCCTTGTTCACATGTTTATTTCGAATGAATGGAATATTATTTTGGAAAAGGGAAGTCCCAAAGTAAAATTTGTTCTGACAAAAGTAATTGTAGACACAAAATACAAACAATTTCATGCACGTCTAACTTTCGAACTACGTTGACACGCCCGAAAAGATATCTGAATGTTTTTAGAGGTAGTGCGTCAACTAAAGGAACTCAAAAACTCTTAAAATTCCGACATTTAACCCGAATTGATGCGTTAATTATTTAAAGGATCTTAGTCTTTATGGTTTTCAAACTTAAAAAAGTTTATCTTCTTACAGACGAGAACAAGGTCGTGTGATACCAAGGATGATAAAAATGTGGAACAAGCACACATCCATTGAAACTATTGAAATAGTTTCTCATTGAGTATCTCAGCTGTCGTTCTTCATCGTTGAAATCCGCTGTCGCTTAAGATTTGGGTTCACAAAGATTCTCACGGTTTTCGTGAATCAAGAAACGCATTCACTTAGATTTGTATCTCCACGATATTCTCGAGCTTGTAATGCTTCTGGGCGGCACCGGTGAATGAACGCTACTTTAGCTCACAAAGCTGTAACGGCATAGAATTCCTATTTTTTCAACCAATCTGATGAATGGCCTTGATACTTACCGGTTTTTAACTTAATGAATTACAGTGCTTTCAGCATAGGTCGTCATATTCGACGCAATTTATATGTGGGTTGTTACATAACTAAAGGCAATATGCACACGACTAGGTAAAATAAATATTATCAATTTTTATACCTTCAACAGAAGGAAACGTCGGAAAACCTATAGCATATATACATAAGTGATCAGCATGATGAACTGAGTTGATTCAGCCATGTATCTGTCTGCCCGTCCGTTTGTTGGTATATACGCGAACTAGTCCCTCAGTTTTTTAGATATCGATATGAAATTTTGTACACAACATTTTATTCCCTAATAAGCTGCTCATTTGTCGGAACCGACAATATCTAGCATAAAACACTTGTGAAGGGTATTATAGCATTTATGCAGCCGACGAGAACGTTTTTTCTTGTTTTTTTTTTTTAATTTGTGTGCGGTTTTTTCAATACTTTTAATCGACTTCTGTGCATAAAATATCACATCATCAGATCAGATCACGTCACATCTGATCACATCGCTTAATCGCTTGCTAGTGAATTCCCGCCTTTTCATATAAACAGTGAAAACTTATCGCCAACAGTGTTGATCACTATCATGAGAGCGAAAGCGGAGAGCGCACGTGTGTGTTTAGAGAAATGAGTATCTCTCCCATAATAAACAATCAAACAACAAGTGCGATCGCCGTTCACCGGCATAGCTCATCACTATACAACAACTATCTGTGCTGAAGGGAAATATGAATATGTCTCTATATGTGTGTATGTACGTGACCCATGTTTCATGCGGCGTAAACTAGCCGTTTAAAAGCTGTTGCTCCATCTGCGTGTTTGACAAACCGGCCGGTCGGTCGTTAACAATACCGTGCGCGCTGCGCCACGAATGTGCGGCAGGCGCATGTGGCTCTTTCAGTAAGCCGCTAGAGTTTGTGTTTACTTGAGCAATATTGATTTTTGCCCGCAACACTGCGTGTGGCTGTGTGTGTATGCGCTGGTATAAGTTGGCTTTTGTGATATTTTCGTAACAGCAGTAAAAGTTGCAAGCAGAATTTGCAGGCGCGCGAAATGTTCTCAAACAAGTGAGAGTATCTGCATTCAATTGACATAGTCACTTATATTTTTAAAAATAACTCAATGTACTATATGGATCGGCGCAAGTAAACAAAAACTGGAGCAAATGCAGGCGGCCTTATGTTAGTCATTTTGTATAAACGTATAATATGTATGCATATTGCATGTTGCTTATGTAATGTGACTTTAGTAAATGCAAGGCTTTGTAAAAAAGGAGCGTAGCGATAAAATTTGTAAATAAAAAAAAAAATTGAACCTTTTCTGCTTATAAGCAATTAATCGAGAATTGCTAAAATTTCAAAAAGGGAACAACACATATACATATGTGCATAAAAAACTGGCAGCAAGGCGACTTGAAAAACGGATATCAGCTTTGAAAAGCAAAAACAATCACAAATAACACAACACATTTGCTTCTTATATGTATTTCCGAACTGTGTGAGCTGTGTCTTATCAATATCCGCTCAACGCTGACGCCCCACTGCCTGCTCAGAAGCGTTTGAATCGCGCTTAGCGCATGTAGAACGGTGCTAACTTATGTGTGTATGTATGTATGTATGCTTGTTTGTATGTGTGTGTGTGTGTAGTTACGCGATCGCGCAGCACTCCGCACTAGTGGGTGTTTGGGTGGACGAGGCATATGCCGGACAGCCGATTGTGTTCGGCACTAGAATAACATACAAAGCGGAAGCGCAATCTCACACATAATAAATGCGCTATATTCAAGTGTATGCGCGCAAGTATGTGTGCGTGTGTGCTTCGTCGTTTGCTCCAAATGTTGCGTTCTACACATAGATGTGTATGTGTGTGTGTAGATCGTCGTTGCTGGATTCTGACTGCAGATCGTTCTGTTGGCGTTCACTTTGCGCTGGAAGTCAATTCATTGTTGCTTTCAGTGGAGATTGTGGCATGTTTCTGCTGTTGTCGTTGTTGTTGGTTTGCCTTACGTTGTGCCATTGATCGTGCGCGCCGCTACACCGTCTACCCACTAACTGCGATCGTATGCTCCGTCATTGTGATCAGTTGCGTGTTGGCGTTCCTGTCCAACGGGTGTGCTTTCCTTTTTCGCTCGCGTTCGCGAATCGTTGTAAGCAGTGTCCTTGCGCCAAGCAGGACATTTGGGATTGGATTGTGTTGTGAAATTGTTTGTGCATAAATACCAATACATATATATATATATATATATATAATGTATATATGTATAAATATATGTATAAGCTAATTTACTGTTACGTACAAGAATACACTGAAGGATATATGTATGTGGTGCTCAGCTATAACGATATCCTTGTAGAGAAGTGTAGATAAATATTGGATTAATCTGTTGGAGAATAAAAACACAAATTGTATGAAAACAAAACAAAAACATAAATTAAGTTATGTGTTAAGCCAAAAACATTTACACATGTGCAATAATTAAAAAAAAAAACTTCTTTTCACTCTAAAAATAACCGTAAAGACAAGGGTGGAAAAACTTTTTGGAATCCCAGCAATTTAAATAAGAGTCAACAAAATGGATTTGTCGAGGCGGTTGCGGTAAGAATAAAAAAATATTGCAAAAAATAAAATGCCAAAAAAAAAAAATATAAATATGTAAAAAACTTAAAAAAATAATTTAAAATTTTTTTGTAAAAAAAATAATTTTAAATTTTTTTCCTGGCGCTCCTGATGGCACGATACTGTTACGAGCAATCATGAAAAA